GTGTCCTGACATTGACATGATATTAACGCATTAACATCTGGTGGCAGCGAGGAGGAAACAAGAGTGAAAGCCTTGTGAAGACCAGGGGAATAGGGACTTCAAAGGTGATCGCGACAGTGCTCATCTCTACCAGCAAATATTTTGTCTCCTTTTAGGGTCCGGATCACAATGTCACATAAAACTAACAAGGATATGACAAGTTGGATTTTTACAAACCCTCCATATAAAGATATAATGAGCTGAATTTATTATCACTATGAGTAAATGTACGCAACGTGCAATATATGGATTAAAGTGGTTGAAAAAGTTGATGGGTTAGGTTGAAATTTAGATATTTGGAACCGACTGGCAGAAGCTGACTTCTTGGTCCCCTTTTCTGCTTAGCAGCCCTTCCAGTCCACTGAAAAATCTCGCACAGAGGGTGATGAGACTCTTAATGATTAAGATAAACTGGGGAAAATCCCCTAAATTTGGGTAGAGGCAGCTTACATGAGCAGAACCCTTCTGTCCACAAAAGGCAGATCCTGAATCCATCTTGTCTGATGCAGAGTTCCTAGAAATACTGTATTGTTTCTAACCAACAGGATGACAGTGCAGTTATGTACCTAGATGGGATTAGATGGTCACAGGACTGCAAATAAGGGCTCTTCTGGAAATGCCATATCATCACACTTTGCTTTATTCATCCTGCATGACACTGGTTCGTGTCTTGTCATTTTCACATTCTTAAAAAAAATCTTTATTTCAATCCATTCAAAATAGCATAACAGAACAGTATTTCAATCCATTCAAAATAGCATAACAAAACAGTACCTATTGTGTTAAAATAAAAATTAATTTCTTCTTCACAAACTCTTAATCCTTCATATATGCAGACTTTACATTATCGCTATCTTTTCAAATAGTCTCTTCTTGGCTCATTATGCATTTTTATGTCTAGCTAATGCCCTTTAGAATAGCTGGCAGTCCAACTCACTGCCCACTTAATTTACTCTATTTTTAACTCAATATTGGATTTCAACAGAGAGTGCCATATCTTCATAAAGTTACCTTTTAAAATCTCCCCCCCCCCGATCTGATTAGTCAGTTTCTCCACCAGCACCACTTCCCAGATTTTATTCATATATCTTTGGAAAGTGCATTCCTGAACATCTTTCCAACACCAGGTACTGCATTCCGTGCAGCCCCTTATAAGAGTTGCCACCAATTCTTTATTTGATAAATTTTCATTTCCTCCGATAAATGGTGAGAATAATAATAGGGTTTCATTTGGAACTATTTTTTAATTATTATTTTTTTCTCCTAACCGGTTGATTACCTCATACCAGAATACATCTACTTTTGGGCAAACTAACCACATATGCTCTAACATTCCTTTCTGGTATCTCTCTATTAATTTTATGTCATTTGGTAAGACGTGCCACCTATGGACCACTTTTTACATCATTTCTTTAGACTGTGCTGATACCGATTTGTATGGTTGAGTATTCCATATTTTTTCCAAATATTTCTGGTATGTTAATGTTTAAATTTGTTTCTCAAACTACCTTTGGTCCTGTGCTGCTACCATATTGTTTGTCCAGAATGCTTTTATAAATTAATGAAATTATAGAAGAATTTGGAGCTGTGGCAGGCCTTAAAATAAACTATCAAAAAACAAAATACTTGACCAAAAATATAAGGAAAGAAGACATTAAAAACTAATAATGAAAGCTAACTTTGAGAAGGTACAAAAACTGAAATATCTAGGAGTCATTACTACAAAAAAAGAGAACAAAAACAAAATCAAGCAATTTGATGAAAGAAGTTAGTCTTGATGTTTCTTGTTATTATTGTTAGATTTTTAGTGTTTTTTGTTTTGTGTGTTGCGTATGTATGAATAAAAAAAATTAATTAATGAAATTAGTCATTTTCCCCTTTTATTATTCTGATCTATACAGTAATTTTCTATCTCTGTCAATGGTCTATTAGGTCCTGACTTCTTATAGAGTTAAATTGCAACATTTCTTATCTGAACTAATGGAAACCAGTTAGTTGCTATTTCTGTAGGGTTTTTTTTAAAAAACATAAACTTCAGAGTATGAACATTATTGTAGTGAGAAGGATATTAAACTCCCACACTGCAAGGCAATGACTTAAAAAAACATTTAAAAGAATGTTTCAGCTTTTTGATCCCCTGAAGTGCAAAAGCAATATCTGGCCCTATAGAGAGCATTGACATGATTTGAGTGCTGCTTCAGGCTTTCTTGGTTTGGCAAATGGCAAGTAGCCTTACTTTACTTTGGTTTCTGAATAATTTCCACATTTCAAGCACAGCTCTACTTCAAATTAAGGTGACTAAGCCTCAGGCTTTGGGCCCAAGATTTGGGTTTTTGGGTTCATTCTGTGGGTCTTAAGAACTGGCCCTTAAACCTCAGGGAAAGAGGTACCATCCCAGCAACTTTAGAACACACTGTTTAGAAACTGTAAATGTTCCCCTGTTTTTTTCATCAGTCTGCCGGTTTTAGCACTGCTGTTGCTGGAGTTCTAGCCTTCCTGTTATTACGATCACACACAGTTACCAGAGTGCTGATTGCAATACTGATCACTCCCTGGTGTGTAGTAGAGTAAAACTGCAAACTAAGAGATTGTATCACATGAAAAAGGAAAGAAGACCACGTACTGACATCAGCAAGTTTCAAGCCCAACAGCGGACCTTTCTGATACCATGTTTATTAAGAGTCTGATGAATCCTTTATTATAAACAGTTTCTGTGCCTTTCTGCTGAATGTAGCATTGTAGAATATTTGAGTATAGAGTGACTACGACAGTCAATGAATATGCATTGAGTAGAAGACTTTATTCAAGAGACATACTCAACAAAGACAAAACAGGAACCAAATCTTACAAAGGCAGTGACAGCCACTACAGAAAGGTCATTAGATATAAGAAGTTGGTGGGGTGGAGGAGCGGGAGTAAACCTGGTGGCTTTCAGAATGGGCTGCTGCCACTGCTGGTCCTAGATATCAGACCCTGCAGTGAGGGATAATGGGATTTGCAGCCCAAGAACAACTCCAGCCCTGATATAATCAAAGAGTAAATCTTTATTCTAGACTTTTAACTGAGTTATGGCTTCTGCTGTGACTTACTTAATGAACATGCTCAGCCATTGATGTAACTTATTCTACAGTGCAATCTTAAAAGAAACCAATCCCATTCAGAAACACATGTTACAGGTGTATTTTTTAAAATGTTGTGCAGAAAGTGCTTTATGGAATTCTGTGGCCTGTTTTTATTACCATTGTACTGGTATCAATAGATGATGGTTTCTTCTGAATTTGATGCTTAGAGGAAAGACAAACAGAACAAATACCATGCCAGCTAGCAGCACAGTAGCAACAGTAAGTGGGATGAGTGGATCACTTTTCTCTGGCTGTACAGTCTTAACCAGGTCTGTAAATGAGAAACACAGGTTGAAATGGTTTGTTAGAAAATCTAAATATAGGTATATTGGTATTGTGAAAGATGCCATTCATATCAATAGTTTCAGGGCAGTTCAGATCTGCATGGTAATCCTTCATGGCACTGCTTGCCAACCATGGATAACTCAGGTGTTCATCAAATACAGGTCCCAGATGCCTTCACCACCAACTGTGCTGGCCAGTTTCTGGGCACCACTCCTTTCTGGCACCATAAAGCAATGATTCACAGAGCAAATAATTTCTATCTGATGAAACAGCCTAGAATTCAGATTCTGAAGGACATATTTCACATATTGATTTGCAAGCCAGCAAGTAATCAACATGCATGTTAGCCACCTTGCCATCTAAAAGTTGTGATGTGCAAAATAGTTCAGATGAGTTCAATTTGGATACAGAAAGTCCAATAGAATTAATAGAGTTATGAATAATTGTTATTGTTATATCATCCTTAAAAGCGGGTGCTGAAGACAATAAAAAAATCAGATTTCTGCCCCCCCTCCCTCCAGCGGACAACTAGATAAAGCTAGAATCTCCAGGACAACCAGTTTACATTTCTAGTTTAGATCTGAGACAAGAATATGTTCAGACAACTAGCTTCCTTTCCATGCACGGTGGCATTTAAGTTGCTCTGTTGTGGGATTCATGTAGAATGTGATGAATAGCTCCATTGTGCAATGTGCTTGTGTTCCTTCAAGAAGCGAAAAGGAAAGTAACAGACACACACACCCAACTTAAGTGGTGGATGATGCTTTTGTTGGCTGCTTGCAGAAGTAGGATGGAATCAATGGCTGCCATGTTGGAGTGGCTGGGTGTCTCCTTCCCAGGGGACATCAGAATTTTTGTGGGCTTCCCCACCCCTGGCCAATCAAGGTGGTGGGAGGTTGGTGCTGTCTCCACAGACAGACCTGAATGGATGTGTTTTCTTTCTAGTCTGCCTGTGAAATGTAAAACGGCTTACCAAGCCTGGAGCAGCCATTCAGCTTTAGAGCTTTTCCCACTCACTCTCCGTTGGGTTGTTTGTAAGCTAGTATATGGGAAATGTTTGATTGTAGCAACAATATTTTTTTCATTTGTTCCAACTTTGTTGGGGGAAGTTTTGATGTATGAGAACAGATGCGGGCTAAGACGGTGGAGACTGGCAGGTGCTTGCCCATTCCTGATAATTCCCCTTCAGGAGATGGGGCAGAAAGATACCCCATGGGCTCGGCTCACAAGACTGCACATTCTACTCCATGGTGTAGCAAGTGGGGCCACACTGTACTGAATGCCCACATGGTTATTCCAGTCACCTATGTTCTCAGTCAGTTGGCAGGTGGCTGATGGAGATCTATCTTCAATGCTAACTCCAAGACCATTGACAATGAAGTTGTAGTCTGCTTACTTCTAATAGTAAATGTATGTGGTTCTTCCCATAACCCCCCTTAGTTGACCATTAAAAACACTAGATATTTTATGTTACTTAAACAGAACAATAAACCATATTTTAAGAAAAATAATGCTTATTCAACACAAGTCATAATCCTATAGGGATTTTATGTGTGCGCAAGTGGAATCATGTAAATTTCTGTGGCTAATTGCAGCTAATTTACAAGGTGCCTGTATATGACTGGCATGTATCCTGAACTCCTCAGTTTGATACATCATGATGCTGTCCTGGTGTCCCCCAAGTGCTGCCTCTTAGCACCTATCCAAGCCAAATGACCATAAGGGGTATTTTGGGGTAGAGAAGCCTGAGATCCTGTCTGACTTTCAGACTGTCTGATGTCTATTTCTTGGTCTTCATCTATTCCTAGACTGATAATCTTAGGGTCTGTCTATCAGTCTCCTTTCCCCCCTTGTCTGTCTTTCTGACTGTCAAAGGAGCAAATACAGACTCTAAAGCATTCGTCTATCTAGTTAGAATTAGGCTTTTCTATCTTGAATATCATTTTCTTAATAAAGGCTAGTTGTTTGTTTTAACTGCTACTTTCTGTCTGTTTTTATCATGCCAGCATATATACATGGCACTTATTATGCCACAGAGAGAAACCTTAACAGAATTTTTCACTCTCAGCTTGTGAACATTCACAACACAATTTATATGATTGCTCCTATGTCTGCTTGCATTCTTTGGAATAGCATTATAACATTTATTTGAGGAATAAATAGCAAGATACTGTATGGAACCATAAAGATAAATTACCCTGTTTTCAGTTTTCCTTTTCTTCCTTGCACTTGATTGGTCCGGCAACAACCTCCACCTTCTCCTGAGTTTCATGCACATCCCTCTTTCTTCTAGCTAAACATCCCTGGTAGCATCGGGAAGAGGAGTCATCTGCCTGGCACACTACTAGCTTGCACTGCAGATAAACTTCATTGTGTTGGTCAAGAAACTTAAAAGCGCTAAACTGGAAGCGAGTTTCATTTTTCCTTGGTGAATATAGATTTTGGTAGGTAGAGTCTTGTATACATCTGAAAAAAAAACAATCAATCATAGTTCTTCCATGTTTATTTAGAGGATGGGAATGAACTCTGATACCTGAGAGGTTGCTGTTAGAGAGAGAATATTTAAAACCACCCCTGGTTTGTGAAAATATTAGGAAATGAATAGAATGAATTGGGCATCTGGGCAAAGGGGAAGGCTGCTGGGGCTCTAATGGTTGTTGTGGGTTTTTTGGGCTCTTTGGCCATGTTCTGAAGGTTGTTCTTCCTAATGTTTCACCAGTCTCTGTGGCTGGCATCTTCAGAGGACAGTACTCTGTGCTCTGGTGTAGTTTGCTTGGGAGTGGAGTATTTATGGCTGTGAGGTAGGCTTTTCAGAAGATGGGTGATTAGTGTGTATTGTTGTGCGTGTATGTATGCTGGACAGACAGAAGACAGACAGACAGACAGACAGACACACACACACACAGCTCCTGTGCAGAAATGTTTTCTGTTTCCTTGAGAGTCCAAATACGTAGCTGTTCTGACATTTATCCAACTCCCCCACCCACCCAAACACTTTCCTTGCCCTTTTCTTGCCTCCTGCCACTCTGTAGTTCTTGGATGTATTTCTTTGGCTTTTAATGAACTCTGCACTTGATTGCAAGAGAAACAGTTTGGACTCTTCCATTCATTCTTGCTTTCAAAGTACGCATACAAAATTTGATTTCTCACAGATCTGAGGGCTTAGAGAGGTAGCAACTAGCTAGCCTCCATCTCAGGGTAGTATGCCTTCCCACAGAGAAGCAGAATCTCAGGACAGCCAGGAGAGGCTGCCAGGTTTCATGCCCATCCTTTTCACTGAAGTCTGAAGCAAAAAGCAAAGAAAGCTTCTCCTGGCACAGAAATTAGGCTCCTCCTGGTGGACAATGCACTGAAGTTTCTGTGAGTTTAGAATGAAGACTGAAATCCACCAGAAGGTAACCCTGAGAAATCCCAGCATCAAACAAGGGATAACTGCAGACAGCTTAAGAAAGGAGACTCTTGGGCAGTGGGGTGGGCAGTACATCAACAAAATCCCTACAAAGTACACATTTGGGAGAATCGGAGGACAAAAAGTGCCATCCTGTCTAAGAAAAGAGATCTGCTGCCTTCTCCTTCCCTAGAGAATGTCTACCTGAGAATCTTCCTCACCCTTTCTGTTGTGAGTCAGCTGTTCTGCTGTCAGCAGTCATTATCTATCCCTACCCTTGAAGCACTTCTGGTCCTATGACAGGAGATATAAGCTGAGTTGCTGAGGAGGTGGGCCTGCTGTTGATGGGAGCGCCACCAAAGATGTGCATGTGTGTCAATTTGGGGGGGGGGGTCATATAGGGAGAAATGAAAGTGAAGGCCAGATTCCATGTTTAAGGGGAAGAGAGGAAGGGAATTACCTCATGCTTGACCTATGGGGTCACAAAGATATGTTGGGAGAGCGGAAACATGAGGGAAATGCAGGAGCTCCTGTTAAAAATATGGTGGCAAAGATGTGGTAGGAAAACCCAACAAGGTGGTTACAGGGAGCAGGGAGGTAGGCTATTCCTGGTGACAGGTGCTGTCTCCATCTGGGAAACAAGTTAATAGTGAGTCTGGGGCCATCAGGCACTAAACAGAAGTTGGACACTGTCACAGAATACCTGTAATGGCTATCAACACAAGGCCTCTCATAATACAACCCATTCTGTCTAGCAGGCCATAACTCTCCTCTTCCTTCTTCTGCTTTTGTATGAGAATCTTTGGTTAAAGTGAAACAACATATTTGACAGTGGGGAATTTTAACCTACAAGGAATCTTTGTTATCCTGTAATTCCTGTTTGATGTAATGAAATATGATGTGAAAAGGGAATGAAGCTGTCCTTTTTATGTGGTTGTCAGAGAGAAAAGTAACTCCTCATTTGCACATGGCCTAAAACTGACATGGAAGGAAATCCATCGCCAGGTCTATTCTTTGTCTTGTAGTTGGCAATTGTTCTCTTATGCATATCAAATAGAAGGTAAACTAAATTGTTTTAAAAGGTCATAATCTAAACTATACTTACCCATTTCTGATTAATTCATAGGTCAAATCAATGAAGTTATCAGCATATGGAGATGCTACACAAGTGTCCATAAACAGTACCAGATTTGAGTCCGAACTGTGGAGAGTAGCTTTGGCATATAAATTCTGATTAAGTGCAACAAAATATGGAGAATCATAGACTGGAGAGGTGAAAGATGGTGATTCATAGAATAAAAGAGTCACATTGTAATGGCCATATTGTCTCTCAATAATGTCAACCGCATCTTTGGCAAGTAACGCTGTCTCCACGACTGTGTTCCCATTCATTTCACACATAACACGTAACTGAAAGTTTCTCTTCCTCGTAATGATATAACCTGAGACAAGTGTTTTGATGATGTTTGAGTATATTATTATGTTATTTTTCTTTTCCTAAAGGGTAAAAAAATCCCAAACAAAAATCATGTCAATAATATAAGTAATTCAGCTCTTCCCACATAAACATTCACTGTATTTGATAATTTTAAAATATATTGCTATATTTCAGAGTTATAACAACTATTCAAAAGCCACCTTATCTAGTCTGAGCCTATTTTACTGCCAATCGAGATACTGTCCATAGATGCAGTTTGAACTAGCAACACAGATAGGCAAGTAATTTAAGAAAAAAAATCAAATGAAGTGATTCATTGCATGAGTGAGTCTAGTAGACATTTTAAAAATAATTTTACTTCACCTAACCCTCTGTAGTTGATCTGAGGAAGGGGTAAAATTTTGATACCTTTCAAAATACTGGAAATTGACACCGGCTCTAGTTTAGTCAGTTCCAAGCAAACACACTTGCTGAGAACAGATTAAAACAGAAGAAACCCCTGACAGGGGTTCAAAAAGTGCAGGTTGGAGGAAATTGATCCACTTCAACGACATCCATGTGTGGACATTAAAAAAAAAAAGAATAGTCCAACCCAACCCATCAGCACACCGAACAATGGGATAAATGTGCATATGTTCAGTCACACTTCAAAGTTTCACAGTGAGCACACCCTTGATGCAAGAGGTCCAAAATTTGATACATTTATTCCTCTTTTTGGGATCTATTGTGTGACCAGATTTAACAGATTAAAGCTGATGCTAGCATTCCTCATAACCACCTTTCAGAAAAGCTGGAGAGAGAGAATTTGTTTCCGAACATTGATGCTCAGTATATTTTCTAAATCAAGAGAAACCCAGGCTGAAATCTTGTGCAGCTCCATGGTGCAATGGGAATCATATCAGCAGTGCCATAATACTGCTGATTAAAGACCTTTTGCCATTTCGAGGTGCACATGGATTGCACAAAGTACAGTAAAATTCTACACATCCCAAAATCACAAAAGGAAGTCTTTAACCAGTAGCAATTGGTCACTTTTGATTATTACATTCCTGTTGCACAGGCAGATTCTACCCAACAGGATTTCAACCACTGTGCTACATCTTTGTTGGATCATCAATTGAACAAAATGCTTCTCCCATTTAAAAAAACATGCTTATGTTATAAAGGATATAACGGTTGCTGCAACTATAAAATTCTCACCTGTCTTACTGTGCCACAGCCACTGAATGGTATATTGAAGATAACATAGTCTTCTGAAAACTGAGGTGCACATTCTGGATCTGAAGAATTCAGATACAGATCCCATTCCTTATAACCTAACGACCGGACATAGGCTCTGCTGATGCGTGCAACCATGTACTCTCCAGAACATGAGAGTGCTGAATGATGATACATAGAAATCTTACAACATGTAAAGCAAATACATTTCAATGTTAAAACAATTTTAGTTCCTGAGTTGACTTGTGGATCATTTTCAGTGGGTTAGAAAGGGTTTATGGTGCCTCTATTGGTAGTACATGAATAAACACTCCCTTTTGTTTAATGGTAAAAAAAATGTCTGATTGATCAACACAGCAGGAAGCTGGCTGGAGTTTATGAGGAGACTGTCAGGGAATTAAGACATCATATTGTTAGAATTTGGGGTATTAGGTGGGACAAATCAGTTTCTGTGTCTCTTTTTAAGATGAAGGCTTGTAGATGCACCCAGACAGCCTGAAGCAGCAACATCAGGGTAGAATCTTGGGGATCCCTCCCCCTTCCTGCTGGCATCTCTAATAAAGATGGTAATCTTCATGTAAATCCACAACCATATCTGTAGGTAAGCTTGAAGTGTCCCATAGATGACAATGAAAGTTATTCATCTAAGAAGAGATTAATTCAAATTGTCCATAACTCATCATTAAGCTGAATAGGTTTCGGATCAATCCTAACCAAGAACTAAAGGCTAGATAGTGACACAAAGTGGATGTAGTGAAAGTCGTGAAATTATCTCATAGCAGAAGTAGGACTGCATGTTTAAAGTTGTATCTAATAGATGTATTTAACCGTGATCCATTATTCTGCATTGTCCCACAGGGATCTTACTTGAATTCTTCCAAACATATGTTTACAACTAAAATCCTAAAAGGAGAAAACTGAACTTACATTTTGAAGGGCCTGATGGTGAATATGGAGGAAGAACTTCTAGAAAGGTAAGCATAACAAAAATGAGCGAACATTTGCATCAAATTTACAGTTTGGCATTTTCGTGCCTTCTTTCTTTTATTTGTTAAAAGACAAAATGACTACATACAAACAAAAAGGATCAAATCTTCAAATGCCCCACAAAACTGGCTAGCCTACTCTTATATTTTTGTACTTAAGATTCCATAATAGGTCACAGTCGGAGTAGGCTCATTTGGATCTATGTAATTTACCAAGGACTTGATTCACCAAATCCCCACTGATTCAATGGGACTCCTCTAGTACCATTTATTACATTAAGCAACCAGATTTTAGCCAATGTGTGCTAACTATTCCAAGAAGAAATATGAATCAAGATTCAAAACATACTCCTTTGCTCACCAACGATCTGATGAGGCAAAAACATGGGACAATTTAATTATATCAGGCTCCTACTGGCTATTTATGTTTCCACAAAGACAAATATCTTAGTTGTAATTGCAAATTGCTACTTACTAGCAAAGTTGCATTCTGAAGCATGTTTTGTAACTTACAAGATTTTCCTCACACAAGTAGAAATTGCCAATAGCGCTCTGGCCATCTAGTTTGAAACTGAATGTCAGGTTTAACTTTTTTACTTCATAAACCAGCAAGTCATACTTATAGGGAGAAACAATATCTTACCAGTTGTTTCAGTATGAGGTGGGGCATTAGTAGTTGGTTCTGTTAAAAAAGACAAAAGGGTGCATAGTAAATAGTATAATACTAATGATTCTAACAATTATCCATTCAGTAATGTGCTGCAGATATATCAGATTAAATTACAATAAAGCAATGCTAATATTTTTATTTATCGATACACTTATTATTAGAGTAATCAAACATACTATACATGGAACTGTCTTTGAAAATGACATGGAAGCACCACCTAGCATAGAAATTGGCTGCCAGAATTATAAGTGCTGGTACAGACTACTGTGGAATAGTGTATGTTTGTACTAGACATGGGGATGAATAAAAAAAATGAATCACAATATTTGTCAGAAGCTGCTGATTCATGTAATATTCATCACTTTGTATTTGTCAATCCCTTAATTTGGGCCAGGGCCCAGAGAGCAAGCTAGGCTGCCAGAACGGCCTATGGGCCTGCTAAACAGCTGTTCAGTGAGCCTGCTCTCTCTGTCCCCACAGCCCACCCCCTGCTTCCTTCCCACTGCCTCCTGTAACCTGCCTATGGTGTCTTGCTGCTGCTATTGGCAGAAAGGAAACTGCTGTTCTGGTGGGCTAGCCTGATCTCTCTACCTCTGTGGCTTCCAATCAACTGATTGGCACTGGTGGAAGCAGAGAGAGCTTGCCATCATGGTTTTACCCAGCTAGACTACTCTCTCTCTGCCTATGGCCTGGACTAGCTGGCTAGAATTTTGTGAGCAGGGTAGCCTGACCTCTCTGCCTCTGGGGGCACTGATCAGCTGATCAGCACCCATGGAAGCAGAGAGGGCCTATCAGTATGGTTCTACCCAGATAGCCTGCTCTCTCTGCCTATGGGGTGGGCTAGTCGGGCGGAATCGAGGTAACATCAGTGCTGTATGTAACAGGCTAGTCGGCCGGAATCGTGCAGGCAGGTTAGCATGATCTCTCTGCCTCTGAAAGCACCGATCAGTTCATTGGTGCCCACAGAGGCTGAGAGAGCAGGCTTGCCTGCCGGAACCACAACTTAAATTCCATTGCTGCCACTACTGCTGCCACCACCAGCAGGCCAGGGTAAGGAGGTAGAGGGGGGCAGTGAGAAGGGGGTGGGGTGATGGCCTGGCTGTCTAAAAACAAACAAACAAACAAAATAAATTGATTCATGGTTCAGCAGAAATTCCTGAGGAAACTTGTGGGTCAAGGGTCATCAACCTTGACGACTTATGAACCGCAAGGATCTGCCATTTTGGTGGTTCATCCCCATCTCTAGTTGGTACAGATTCATAGGATAGTATCACATTGATTTGGAAGAGGCTTCACTAACTCCTTCTGTTCTTCTGGGCCTATTTCAAAATGTTGGTGACTATCTGTAAAACATTGAAGTTCTCCACTGGACGCCCTTATCTTGATCCCATTGCCATGTCAGGAACTTTGAAGACCTTTTCTGTGGCTGCTCTCAAGTTGTTGGCTCCTCCATTTCATCCTTCCCTGGACCCTTGAAGACCCACATTTTCAGGAAGGTATTTAATAACTATAACTCCTTTTTAAATTGTAATGTATTATATTTTAATATTGTTTTAATGTTGTGGGGTCTTTTCAATGAGAGAAACAAATGGTAATAACTAACTAACTAAATACTTAGGAAACCCTGTCAAGGATTACCTTCAGATGAAATGACTTAATAACACTTAAACATGTACTTTAATTATTGAGGGGCTTGGGTTATTTAGCAATAATGAATTGCTTTAGGAAAGTTACTGTGAGGATATAGGTTTTGTAGTACTTGGTTTTTGGAGTTCCACAGGTATTTGGGATCTCAGTCTGGGAGCCAGTTCTTGTTGTGACTTTCAGTCAAGGCTGCATCTCAAGATTGATAAACATTAAGTGCTATCCTAATTGCATACCAGCATGGGAACAGGAAACTGGATGATGGAAAGTTACAAGTTGGGCGTGGACTTGCAAACAAAGGACTATATGATAATTGGATACCATAAAGAAGTAGAGACTTTGATTTACTTTATAGAAAGGGGTTCTAGGTGTGAATGAGTTGAAGGAGGAGGAGGAGGTGACAGGTTTTACAGCCTTCCTTCATTGGAGACTTAGCAATGGTGGTTTAGAATAGCATCATAATTAAGTAGTAAAATCATTATACTCAAGTAAATTAATCTTTTTATTGTTTTATGGGAAGGATGTACAGGAGCTCTCTTAATCCTTCAAAGCTTGGCATTTAACAGTACAATTTGAAACTTTTTTGTATTTTTTATGTTTGATAACTTTTTGCTCTTTTAAAAATAAATATTTTATATTGTATCCAAATGTAATTCTTGGGGGGAGGGGACAAGGGTTTGAGTGCCTGAAGAAAGTGCCTTAACCACAAAGGCTATGTTTGCTCTTTTTGTTCTTTGGGTGTCTGTGAGCCAGCTACAGCTCACTGGCGGGAAGGAGCTAAGTGCCAGCATGAGCAGGCCCCCTCAACAACAGCAGAAGGACTGTTATCCTTAAGGAAAACGCCTGAGGCAAGAGAGAGTGGAGGTCCTGGGCCCTCCCCCAAGGAAACAGCTGTAGCCTGGGACAAAGTAGAAATAGAGAGGAGTGAACAGGGAGAGGTTTCAGAACCGGACATCTTGGAAAGATGTCTGGGAGTTTCTACCAGTTTTGTCTGAAAAGGAGAGTAGTCATGGGGGGGGGGGGGGGGGGGGGGGGAAAAAAAAAAAAAAAAAAAAAACCAAGAGAAGAAATTCT